AAACAGACTTCCCTTGTTAGTAAGAATCTTTGCCTGTGACCTTTCGTCAACGTTCTACTTCAACTTTCTTCAAAGTAGCCAGCGACAACAAAAAGAGACGTGACCTTGCATGTTCTACTTTATATGCCCATATCTGTTATGTCTTTGCACTCGATCAGTGGTTATCGTAGATCTTTAAACATGTCCTGTATGTATGCTCATTATTGTTATTACATTGAAGAATCATGATGATCATCGACTCCACGGTGTAGAGGCGGGGTTTTGCCAACTCAAAGCGTGGCGGTTTTTGATAGCGAGAGAGTACGAAGAACAATGCTATGACGTGGAGGTTTAACAAGTTTACCTGTGTTATCAGGCAAAGTCTGCAATACACCTCTACACGAATCGTGGAGACGATCATCATTGTAGAGATACAATTTTCTGGAATGATCAGAACTAGGCGACTGTAATGTCTATTTGACGACTCTCTAACATATTGCCTTGATGTTAGCAAAGAATGATAAGAAGCAAAGAACTGAATTTGTTCAAAATCTCGAGTGCAAATGCTAATCTGCCGTTAACGGCGACCAGTCGTGTGGTTCGAATTGGAGGCGTTGAAAATTGAAACTTGCTGATTGCGTGAAATCAGCCATGTACCAAATCATGACATAAACTTCGAAAAAAAGTACTGTAATACAGGACGTCTCATGGGATTTCTTGAGAACATAAGTGCGATGAATAAGTGGGAAAACAGGGAAGACATTGCTTACAGTAGATTGATTGATTTGAGAAGGACTTTCGAAAACTCCCGTCTTTTCTCATTTTTTTTCTTTCTAGGAGCAGAAATAGGCATTTTACAGTGATGCTTTGCATAAAAGTGGACTGTTAGGTGATGTTATAGAAGTTATCAAAGATTACCACTAAGCAAATCATATCCTACATTCAGGCTGAGATTAACCCATGTTCGATAACGCATAATTATTAACGCACTTTAGGGTACGCGTTCCATATCTTGTAAGGTAATTGGCAGAATATATGCGACCAGTGCGTCACCTCTGCTTCGCAGAGCCTCGCACTGGCTGTACTATCCACACACCAGCCTCGTAGTCGCAAAATGATGGCTTTGAAATTTACCTCGCGATGCCGATCATCACGAATGAAATGTAAACAACTACTCATTCCAAAAGCTTTTTCATGTAAATCGGAAAAAAAGTATTCTCCAAAAGATTAAATGCGATTCTGAATCAGTTACTGGGGTTATAATGACTTGATACTCGCCATAAAGATGACGGCAACCGTGAGTTACATCTCTGAGCAAAAATTGTCCCGCATTTCCAGGTAAAACCCTGACAAATCGATCATCTACGCAATTATTCCTTTTTGGCGTCGATTTGCGCGAAAGTAAACTTTTTGCTCACTTTTCAGGCTAAGGTCCACGGTTTGCGGATTTACTTGCTAAACGAAACCATGACTTTGAAAGAAGTCCAATTACAGGCTCATTTTGGCGCGCGAAATGTCGCGTGGATCCGTTTGGCGCACAATTTCACAGGTTCCAATCATCGGATCGGCCTGTGCTTTTGCGCATTTTACCTACATGCTGATAGGGTGCTACTACCAGAATTCTAGCTCAAGACCTTTGTTGGAACTCGCTCTACGAATTTCGTAGAGCGAAAAAACACATACACACACGCACACATGCACACACACACATACACACACACACACATACACACACATACACACACATACACACATACACACACATACACACACACATACACACACACATACACATACACACACACATACACACATACACACACACACATACACACACACATACACACATACACGCACACATACACACACATACACACACACATACACACACATACACATACACACACACATACACACATACACACACATACACATACACACACACACACATACACACACACACCTACACACACACATAAACGTAAACACCCTTAGCCCGTTATTATGAGTTACCAGTGCTTCACCTCTGCTTCGCAGAGGTTCGCACTGGCGTCATAAATCGTAATAAACTCACTCTCTAAGATTGTCTCTCAAATCATTGTTCGGATGATTGCAGCGTGAGAGCCTTAGTTAGAAATGAACCATACTCGCTGTCTTAATCTCATATGATGTTAAGTATCGTAAATCATTCCTCACTGTAATTTCGTAACGGACAAACTCCACACAGCTTCAAATTAAGTCGCTTATTATAAGTCACCAGTGCGTCACCTCTGCTTCGCAGAGGCTCGCACTGGTCCTATTTTCTGTATGCGTTACTCATTCCCGCATAATAATGACATTGAATCACCGCGCTATGTAGGCTTAGGCTATCATAACTTATAATAACGGGCTAAGGATGATTACGTGACTTTGTGTGCGTGTGTGTGTGTGTCTGTCTGTCTGTCTGTAACGAAATTCATACAGCGGGTTCCAGCCACCATCCCGAGCCCAAACTTTACTAGCGCATGCTACCAAGGTAGAACTCCAGCATGGAGCACGAACGGATTCGTTGAGTGGGTCCCTGAATTTGCGCGTCAAACGGATTCACTTGGCTTCTGGCCCGCAAAATTGGGTCCGTATCAACGCTTTTTGCAAAGCCGTGGATGTGTTTAGCAGGTTGATGTGTAAGCCATAGACTTTAGACCAAAAAGTGACCAAAGGTTTGCTACTTTACGAAAACGACGCCAAAAAGAAATGGTCGCATAAATGATCAATCCGCCGTGGTTTTACCTGAGCATTTTAGAAGATTTTTGCATCGAGATGTAGCTCACGATAACTATTGTCCTCATGCCGACTACCAAGCCAAAAAAGTTTCAAAACCTGTTCAAATTTGCATTTGTTCTTCATTTTCCAAAGTTTCATCCACGCAAAATACCGATCTCACACGAAAAAGCTTAGGAAATGAGTAGTTGTTTACGAATCATTCGTGAAGGCGGGCATTGCGCGGTAGGTTTCAATGCCATGTTATGCAGAAATGAGTGTGGCATAAGATAGAAGAGCCAGTGCGAGCCTCTGCGAAGCAGAGGTGACGCACTGGTCACGAATAATTCGTAAACAACTACTCATTCGTAAACGTTTTTTATGTGAGATCGGTATTTTCGCATGGATAAAATCTTTCTTAGAAGAACAGATGCAAATTCGAATAGGCTTTTGGAATTTTTATGGATTGGTAGTCGCCGTAAGGACAACAAACATAGTGGGCTACACCTCTGTGCGAAAATCTTCTCAAATAATCAGGTAAAATCTTGAAAAATTGACCATCGAGCAATTAATACTTTTCGGCGTCGTTTTTGTAAAGTAGTAGACTTTTGATCCCTTTTTCGGAGCAAAGCCCATGACTTGCACACTGAGATGCTAAGCACATCCACGACTCTGCAAAAAGTGGTGAAGGTATGAAAGTGGATGATGATGCTTCGCAGAGGATCGCACTGGTCCTACTCTATAGTTTTTGAGCAACATCTTCTCTTAAGAAAGGCAAAGTGTGGTACGTCCACAGCAGGTACTGGCTCTATGCACCCCATGAATATGGTGCCGTGCGGGTCTGCGCGTCCATGCTTGTCCTCAGAGCTAAACAGTGCCCTGCCTCATCTCTCAAATTGCTTTGAACCTCCCCGAAAAATTCTGATCGGGAAGAATATGATGTAAACAGCCATTCATTCTGTGAGGTTTTCATGTGAAACCGGTAAAATTAGCGTGGCGAAACTTTTGGTGAACGGTTAGTGTAATTTTGAATCCGTTTTATCATTGCGATGTTGGCTAATTAGAACAACAACAGATGCACGCTACATTCCCAGCCTAGAATATTTCCAGCTATACAGTGAGTGTTTTGAAAATGAACAGTTGAGTCATCTCTTTTTGACGCCACTTTTGCACGAAATTAACTTTTTGCTATGTGTCGGCGATGAATTCCAGGGCTTAGAAGATGTCTAAGTTAAAAGTCTTACAGTTACTGCAGACTCCTTGCATTAGGATCTCGTTTTTGCCTTAGCAAATGCCTGGTGGATCCGTTTGACTCGCGATTTACCGAAACAGATTCGCTCACTTCTTTACATAATTAACCTGGGTGCTGCTGGCGTGCTATAGCCAAAAAATCAGCTCGAAATATTGGCTGCAGCTTGCGCTATGAAATACACTGATTCGCAGGGGCTCGCTGTGTCCTACTCTGTACGCCTTACTCATTCATGCCTTGTGATGGCATTGAAACTCACCGAACGATGCCGAATATCAGGAATAAAATGTAAACAACTACTCATTCCAAAAGCTTTTCCATGTGAGAACGGTAATTTTGAGAAGACGAAATTTTTCGCAGAAGAACAAATGCAAATTTGAATAGGTTCTTGAACTTTTTTCTGGCTAGGTAGTTGCTATAAGGACAATAACACTCTGAGCCACATCTCTGTGCAAAAATCTTTTCAAATGCTCAAGTAAAACCTTGGCAAATCGACCATCGAGCAACCAATATTTTTCGGCGTCGTTTTTGTAAAGTAGTAGACTTTTGATCCTTTTTTTGGAGGAAAACCCATGGCTTGCACATTGAGATGCTAAGCACATCCACGACTTTGCAAAAAGTGGTGATATAGATCCGATATGCGGGCCGAAAGCCAATTGGACCCGGCTGACGCGCAGTTTCTGAGGGATCCACTTAACAAATCCGCTCGTGCTTTCGCATGGTGGACTTTTATACTGATAGCATGCGCTATGCAAGATTTGGGCTCAGGACGTCGGCTGGAACTCGCGCTATGAATTTCGTGACAGACAGACATTCAGACACACACACACACAAAAAAACGTAAACACCCTTAGCGCGTTATTATAGTAGGATGATCATGATGATTCATTGAAATGAACGTGTCAACATCAAAACTGGTTAAAAATGACTGGTCAGACACTGACCACTTAGTGGAATACTAGCTAGCTGATTAAGTAGAAATCGCTTTGTGTTCGAATAAGGATATTCATTTGTAGTATATCATGCTTGAGAGATGGACGACATAACAAAGTACGTTATTGTCAAGCTGTGCTCTAATGCACTATTTGTATTCAGGGGATCGACTGTGCAAGATAGTGGTGATTACGTCAAGGAACACAGTAGGTAAGATTACTTCATAAGAGTAGATGTCGCAAGGGAAGGAAAAAATGCAGCGTGCGGTCCCCAGTGAGTTCGGTGCCTCAGCAAAATGAATCTTTTAATGCTTCGAAAGAAAAGGCAACTTCAAAATCCTCTTCGACAATAAAAAACAGCTCGGAACATGTGGAAGACCACGACACTATACCCACTACCAAAACGACAGACTCTACCAACTGGAATGCTTCGCAAACGCCGATAGAGCTAAAGAAGTCTTCCACTAGATCAGTGACAGAAATGAGATCAATGTCTGCAAAAAGTCCAGCTGTATCTTCACGTGAAACTCAAGAAAGTGAGAGAGTCGTGCAGGTATAGCAGGTTTTTGCAAACTTTCCTATTCATCTGAGCGATTTCAGATCAGTGAAGCGGTACGATACAAGAAAGATGTAAGTTCTCGATGTATCCTCTTCGCTATATTTGTCTCTACTTATTTTTATTTGTACAGTAAAGTGAATCAAAATCTTGTAGACATACATGCTAATAATTTCGGTGGTGACTATTGTATTATCCATGTTTGCTTTCCTCGTATCAAACCTGCTGGGTATATTGAAAATCATCACGACTGTGAGTGCGTGTCTTTATCTGTTTGCAGGTACACTCATCATGTCCTTACCTCAAATAATCATAACTTATAATAACGGGCTAAGGTTGTTTACGTGTTTTTGTGTGTGTGTATGTGTGTGTGTATGTCTGTGTGTCTGTCTGTAACGAAATTCGTAGAGCGAGTTCCAGCCAACGTCCTGAGCCGAAATTTTGCACATCGCATGCAACCAACATAAGAGCACTGCGCGTCAAACGGAACCACTTGGGTTCTGGCCAGCAAAATTGGTTCCGTATTACCACTTTTTGCAAAATCGGGGATGTGTTTGGCATGCTGATGTGCAAGCCATGGACTTTAGTCCAAAAAAGTGGACAAAAGTTCACTACTTTAGGAGAACGACGCCAAAAAGAAATGTTTGCGTAAATGATTGATTTGCCATGGTCTTACCTGAGCATTCGAGAAAAATTTTGCACAGAGATGTAGCTCACGTTGCCTACTATTCCTTATGGTAGCTACCAAGCCAGAAAGAGTCCAAAAACAAACCTATTCAAATTCGTATTTGTTCTTCTGCAAAAAGTTTCATCCACGCGAAATCACCGATCTCACATGAAAAAGCATTTTAAATGGGTAGTTGTTTATATTTTATTCGCGATGATCGGCACTGCGTGGTGAGTTTCATTGCCATCATTAGTCAAGAATGAGTAAGGCATATGAAGTAAGATCAGTGCGAGCCTCTGCGAAGCAGAGGTGACGCACTGGTTTGGTATAATCTAGCCTAGATCAAAAACAAAGCACAGCTTGCGTTAAGCCGCTGGCGTATTTCAGTCGCCATGCGATCTTACATTTTGCCAGGCGTTTAAATTCACTCCGCAGACTACAAATGGTGATGTGTATAACTTCCGTAGGTCAACCGAATGCCTTATCTTCTGTACACTTATAATGTGCTTACGATGGCCTATAAACAGTTGAAGTCTGCAAGTCACGTAGCGATTGAAATTGTAAACTCTGACCAAAGTTTTAAAGTGGTGGGAATTTCATGTGATACATTAGTGGGACTGCAAAAAGTCAGCCGATCCCTGCAGAACATTGCTTCCAAATGCAAATGAATCCTCATCCACTATCTCACGTGGTGCGTATGGCTAAGATCGGAAGTAGACACCAATGTCTAAGGTCGAAAAAATTACAACGATGATGAAATTCGGATTTTTTGACAATATAGGTGCCTCGGCAAACTCAGTCACCCAAAGACCATCCACGCCGTCACACTGCCGCATCGTTGGGAAGATTTTCTGGCACTCACAAGACTTATGCAGGCTTATAGTTCGGGATACCCTGTCATAGCGTATTATTTTATTTTGACGAACGGAGCAGCTCAAAGATTGTCTTATAGCAGAGGACTTGCAAAAACAATTTAAAGGCACCGTCCACCCTAATTTGAGGGTGTTGAGCTTTTGGCAGCATATAACAGTAGGGCCTCCTATCAAGCCAATGCCCAAGTCGCGGCGCAAAATGCCGCTTCGGAAGCGAGAAAATCGCTTCGGAATAGAAGATGCACTAGGACCCCCATCCATGTCCGCCCAATGTGCGCGCTCATCCAATCACCGTTCTGGAAAGCCGGCCTGTGGGTTCTCCGGAATGGGTCGGAATTTTCGCGGATTCTCGACTTCATATCTAGAATCAGGGACATGAGAAGGCTTTAAAACAACAAAAACCTGGAAGTCGAGAACCTGGGTGGACGGTGCCTTTAACTGGCAGAAAATTTCGGCAACTTTATATACAGTGACCGCCAAAAAGTTGCGGACAAGCCGCCCTCCTTTTTTCATCGCTTATTTCCAGATGGGAAACAAAGATGAAAAAATAATCTGATTGCATGTGGTGATAGCGCTCATCAAGAGCTACAACCCACACATCGCGCTTTCTGGAAAACATGTATTATAAAAATTTTAAAAATGTTTTTCTGAAAAAAGTCCGAAAATGGACGCGTCATAATTTCGCGGACATTAATTCTTCGAACGCGAAAATTTTCTTTTAGGTCTTTTCTTGGGGCAAAAACAGAAGTTTTCCGGACAGATAAGCATAGTATATTGTAAACCTCATCGAGGACAATAATATGGTAGTGATTACTTTCAAAAAACTCAAGCTTGAATTTTATTTTGCTTCTTTTCAAAAAATAACTTCTATTTCCCTGCTTCAAGCCAAATTTCTTCACATGGAAACCCATTCAAGACATCCAAACGAAGCTTTTCGGATAAAATGGATGCCCTTTGTTATCTTCTATGCATCGGACGTGTGCTGGAGAGTTTCTTTGTCAAAAATGGCTTTTGACAGTGCGTGCACATGACCCCACCTGCACCTCACCACTGACTTGCACCGCTTTGCAGGCTTGTAACTCAGCCGGCAGTCACTCTAGAGACTGCAAGTAGGCTCATTCGAAAGAGCATGACTTTCTGGACACGATGGTGTGCAAAAGAGCTGGGTATGACAAACAGCGGAGAAATGGCGGATGGGGTGTCAAAGCGCAGCTTCAGTGGTAGGCTAAGGATTTTTCAGCTAAAATTAGAAAGAGTTCCTTTCGCTACCAATTTCATCCTAGGAGTTCAAAACTGCCAATTTTCGTGTAATAGATTCTTTCGGAGCTCTAAGACTGTTTTTATGTTGATAGGAGCCATCACTCCATTCATCGCCAGTGCTGCGCTTTGACACCCCATCCGCCATTTCTCCGCTGTTTGTCATACCCAGCTCTTTTGCACACCATCGTGTCCAGAAAGTCATGCTCTTTCGAATGAGCCTACTTGCAGTCTCTAGAGTGACTGCCGGCTGAGTTACAAGCCTGCAAAGCGGTGCAAGTCAGTGGTGAGGTGCAGGTGGGGTCATGTGCACGCACTGTCAAAAGCCATTTTTGACAAAGAAACTCTCCAGCACACGTCCGATGCATAGAAGATAACAAAGGGCATCCATTTTATCCGAAAAGCTTCGTTTGGATGTCTTGAATGGGTTTCCATGTGAAGAAATTTGGCTTGAAGCAGGGAAATAGAAGTTATTTTTTGAAAAGAAGCAAAATAAAATTCAAGCTTGAGTTTTTCGAAAGTAATCACTACCATATTATTGTCCTCGATGAGTTCTACAATATACTATGCTTATCTGTCCGGAAAACTTCTGTTTTTGCCCCAAGAAAAGACCTAAAAGAAAATTTTCGCGTTCGAAGAATTAATGTCCGCGAAATTATGACGCGTCCATTTTCGGACTTTTTTCAGAAAAACATTTTTAAAATTTTTATAATACATGTTTTCCAGAAAGCGCGATGTGTGGGTTGTAGCTCTTGATGAGCTCTATCACCATATGCAATCAGATTATTTTTTCATCTTTGTTACCCATCTGGAAATAAGCGATGAAAAAAGGAGGGCGGCTTGTCCGCAACTTTTTGGCGGTCACTGTATTTATCCCAATGACACTTTCATCGGCTGTGATTGATATCACGTAACCGTTTTCTTTCTGAAGAAGCAAACCGCCGATATGAGATTGTCTAAAAATGTATGTGACGTACTCAAGTTACAATAATGTACTACTATTCTAGCACTACATCCATTTTTTGAAATGTTGATAACTCATTTTTTGCTTATCAAAACCACCACACGTGGAGCATTCTGGCACAACATTTTCTCAAATTCTCATCAAATCTACACATTCCAGGTCCTCATCACGGTTAGTCTTGCAATCGGCTGGATGCTAAGAACCGTGCTAGCAGTGAACACAGCAATTGTATGTATGGTATGTCGCATGTCTCATTATCTGACATGTATTCAACTGAGATTGTCGAAGTATTTGACATGAATTTGACTGGGGTGCGAAACTCATAACTTTACAAGACCCACAAAATTGAGGAAAGTTATATATAAGTTAGCCTATAATTATGGTAGCAGTCAAATGGCTCACGATTCTACTGGGTTTCTGCGGACCTGGAAATTCAAAAAATTCTGAAGGCTGATTAAAACTCACTCCTGAATTTGTTATTCACCAAATTTTATGTACAACTTACGCTGAATCTTGGCATATCAACAATTCCTTTGTGAAATGTCTCAGCCTTCACCAAGATTGATAATGTTTGATAAGCTAACCTTAAGGCCAACTCGTCATAGTTAGAGCTCTGAGCGAGTAACATATGAGATCTTCTCGCCCGGACGCCTTATCATCTTGCAGGAAAAAGACAAAAAGTTGTACAATACGGCACCTGGGTCAAACAGCTCACCTTAAAGTTGGGGTCGAGGCCACCTTCACGGAGAATTCGAAATTCAATATTGTGAAGCAGTAAACACTCTTGTTATGCGGCATTAGCATCTAATCATAATTATTTGTAGAAGTTTCACATTTCAAAGATTTTTCACCTTTTGGAGCGTTTTTGTATTTTACACAACATCGCAAAAATCAAGACTTTTGCAAAATCATTCTGAAGGATGAAGACAGTTCAAGACACCCAAAACTCTTTTGCATTGCATTTTGGTTCTGTATTTGACTAATATCAGAACTCTCTTTCAAATGTTTGGAATAAAAATTGTGAAAATCAGCCAAAATTAAGATGGTTGAAAACCATAAAGATTCCGACAATTATTCGAGCGATCATCGTAGGATTCTAAAAGAGACATCAACGCTCGAAGAAGGATCAAATTCTGCATCGAACGCTGTTGACAGCGTTCGTCTACTATAAATCCCAGTGATATGAGGATAGACATGAAAACGACATGAAAATACGGACCGACCTCACACTTCTTGATTCATATTGAAGGCAGTATCTAACCAAGATTGGGGTAATAGTGATTTTCATATAATTTATTAGAGGACCCACTGAAGAAGCACCACCTTGGGTCCGACTCGACCCGGGCCCTTCTACGCCTAGAAATTTGCCCTCAAAGTGACCCACAAAGCTCGCTTTGGCTCACACGGCCAACGCCCTCGTTTCTCCCTTACGTGTTCCACCATCCTCCACTTGGCATCCACCTCCTGTTGCTGCGAAGACTTGGCTGAGAAGGCACAACTCACCAGCGTTGCTCCCACGGGGCTTTCAAAAAAGGGGGTTTTTGTACATTTTATGCGACTTTGGACCTGCACTGAGTTAGTTAGGGACGAGTAAGCTTGCAATATGCAAAATCGCGACAATCAAATTTTGGTGAGACACTAACCCGTAGTAAACCCCCCCCCCCCCATCAGTGCAACCCGACTGGTGCGGCCTACGTTGAACGTAGGACGCCTCAGTCCAGCAACCAGTGAGCTATTGATCTGGATACGGGTCGCTTTTTAATCATAATAACCATGTGTATTCTGGAAAAAGGAAACATTTGAGCCGGTTTGGTCGATAAAAGCGACTGGAATTGAACCCGCGCGGCCATGGTTCAACACCGGCTAGCGCCACATTTTTGCTGTATCGTCCGGCTTTGAAGGCGAACACTATGGCAAAATCGATGATGACCGCTATCAAGGATTTCACCTAGCACATGTTATAACAAAAACACATTTTTTGACGAAAATCTCACAATGAAATGGTTGCAACATAAAGTCAATGAATCAAATCAATAAATTCTAGTCTTAAGTAGCTTTTCGAAAAAAAAACTCAGCAAATTTTACAAAAAAGAAAAGAATTATTTTTCTCCCTTTTCACGCCAAAATCAGCTGTTCATTGACTCTCTCTTTTTCGAGCCCCGGTATTGTGCAGTCTTGCGCATTTTGTCTGCAGTGTTACGCAAATTGGTGTGTATCGTATGTTACTCGGGAGCAACTTACGTATCGTATGTTACTCGGGAATCTTCTCTGCGTCTCCTCTTTTCCACATTATTTGCATTCCTCTAACATCAGTTCACGTTCAGCTCACCTGAACGTGAACTGACGTGCAACAGTTGACTGCAGCAGGCGGACGGATGGCCAACTGTCAGTTCACTTGCCATGCTTATAGCCTGGGAAGGTGAGGCGGTCATTAGTTCATGTGACGTGAGCTCAACTGATAGGTTAAGTTCACTTCACCTGAACTGATCTAGCTTTACTACGGGCCATTGTCCTCCTTAAAGAAAGATCATTTGAAACAAAATCAGTTATGAATTGGAAGCGACAAAAGTAAAAGCGATTGGACAAGTTTTTTCTGTGTATTTTGGAGGCAAAAGCAAGCACTCTTATGTTCCTTCCATTTCAGATCTTTGCTGCTGGTACCGATGTTACTATCATAGCTGAAGCTGTGCAAGGGAACTCAGCACCAAGTAAGCCATCCAACAGTAGTCATATTCATCAACGAACCCAGTGGGTTCGACTTTAGGTTGTACTAACTACTGTTTGTTTGTGAAAATAATTATGTGGCTTTTGTGTGGTCTAGGTAAGTGGGTAGCTTGACCCACTGGGTTCTAAACCGCAAGCTTCATGGATAGAGATCTAGTGGGCTAAAGCTAATACTGGTTTCGTTGCTACATACGGTCACAGGCTGAGTAACCCCGGAGGCAGTGCCCACTCAATTTCAAACATGTAAATTGCTCATTCGGTAAGGGCCTCTTACTAGGACTGTTCAACCGGCGCGAATGACACATTTCAATCAAATTTGAATTCTTATTTCTCGTACTCCGCTACCGTGGACCTCCTGGCACGCGTGCATGTTGATGCTTTCGCGAGGGAATCGCCGCCCAAGTGTCTAACAGTCAAGCGAAGTGGGCGGCGATAGTTGCGCAACTATCCAAAGATGGTGTTCCTGGCGTGAGTGAATCTTCCAAGCTGCCTTCTAAGTATTGTCTTGATTAGGGTGCCAGTTTTTTCAAGTGCCATCCAAATTTGTCTGGACACTCTCTCTGAGAAAATGCTGTATTTTAGAAAAACCACCACTTTCGAACAATCATAAGAACATCAGCAGTCCAACATGTAAGCTTGTTACAGCATTATGTCCAATCAGCGGTTATCGTCAGAAGAAAACCTGCCAAATTCAGAACTTTTCTGATGCTGTAGAGAACACTCGACCACGAACCGCGAGCAGCTTACTCGATTACAACATGCACGCTTTAGCAATGCCAAGTCCTTCTGAGCATCCGTTGTATAACTGAATATTTCTGTACCTAGCCGGTTTGTTAAGCAATGTATTTTCTTCTCCAGTAATGTTTAGCGTTTCCACTTTCGGCTTTTTCAGGTCCCGAACTTACACCGTCTTTCTCAGGCCTAAAACTTTTAGCTCACTCATCACCATAAAAAGCTCTGTTGCTTCAAATCATTCTGCATACATAGAAAGATTCATTTCGCTACGGCCGTCTATTTCCAGTGCAGACTAGTCGTCTATGTCCATGTCTGTGTTGACTATGTGGTAGTAAGATTGTGGGTAGGCCGATGGCATTTGGAAGCGATGCTTGGTGGGCTGGAAACACAGACAACACTTGAACCATTCAGGCCTGCGAGAAAGACAAAGGCTTCGAAACATAAGAGCGTTGAGAGAGGAATAAACGTAAACGTCGCTTAAAAAACCTGGTCGGCACAGAAGTGATCAATATATAAGGGTGGCCACTATACCTGGGTCCCAATCGAATAAAAGTTTGATCGTTCAAATAGAACATTCGAAGATATATTTGCCGGAATTCGATTTTCGGAGTTTCCCCATTTTTGTTATTTTCCCTGCAGAACACGTAATGCATCTTTTTGCAGCCGTTATCACCTTTGAATTGTATGGAAGCTTGCACTCCTCCGACTGATTACGACAATAAAAATTAACTAGATTGGATTAGACGAATAGATGTGAATTTTGATTGATTGCTTTTTAATGAGATAGTTCGACAAAAGAGCTGTCGAATCTAAGCTTATGGTCCGGTTCCTACACTGGAAGTGTGTTACATGCCCGTTTCTCTTCCTTTGCGTTGCTCACGTTGCCTATGCTTTTGGTCCGCAAAGGCCCACATCAGCGAGCACTTTTGCTTATGGAACTCATGTTGTACAACTGCCTCTATTCTTTATGTCAAAGATTTTTCGCGAATGACGGTGTATTTGAAGTAAGACGTTGGAGCTGTGGTGAAGGATTAGACGGGTGGTGGATTTTGCAGTTATATCAACTTGCAATAAAGTTTTGTTCAGTATATAGTACATTATAGTTTTGTTACCACAGTGCACTCAAGAGTTTCGAAGAGGCTTGCAGGCATTTTGCCACCGGGTGCTATCAGCCTATCAACTATTTTAAAGACCAAACCCCAACGAAGGCGATCCACATCGAACTATACAAGTTTCGGTTACGACAGGACCGCAATACCTCATGCGATAGTCGGACGCGATTTGCAAATGTAACGCCACCTTAAAACATATCTACAGCTTTATACTATCGATTTCACTGTTGACAAGCTTTGAGCTATGGGATTGGCAGTCTGTGTGTGGAGTAAATGAGGGTGCTGATCTTATATATAGAGCTTATCTGTTTGTCTGTTGTCTGTGTCTGTATGCATGTCTGTCTGTGCGTATAGGGCATTCGACAAATCGTGACGATGGCGCGACCGCGCGCGACACGCACGCATTTCGGGCAACCTATTTTCTCGGATTTCGTCTCCACTCGAATAGTTTTACTGCTAAAGTATGATAGTATTCAGCCACTGCAAGTGACTAAGCTGAGCGTTGAGGTGATGCCTTTCTGTATAAGTATTTCATGCTCCTGTGAGCGCAAAGGGTTGAGCCAGAGTGCGCGGCGTACGGGCGTACGTGACGTACGCTGCGTACGCTCGGTATGTTTCATCACAGGAGAGTACGCGGCGAATGCTGCGTACGCCGTGTACGTCGCGCAGTCTGGCCTAACCCAAAGACCGCGGACAAGTCCGTCGTCACGATTTTTGAAATGATCTATATATTCCGGATAGAAAACTTCATTTCTGAACATTTCATTCCGATCCGGACTAGTTCAACCCTAGCTCAAACTTTGCACACATACACTTCGGGGCCGAGCGGGTGTCGTAGGCTACTTTTCGTTATCGAGATATCGATTATACCAGTTCTTAAAAGTTTGACCTGAGGGGCTCAGAGTTGGCACAGTGGGGTAATCGAGCATGCTGTTTACGAATACAATATTAGTTTTTAGAGCTATCCGTTACTTCTATCGATTGTATCAACTTCTTGCAAAGTTTGAGCTACGGGGCTGGGAGTTGGCACAGGGAGTAAGTGTGCATGCTGATTTCTAATACAGCGGGAATAGGGAATTGGCATGTAGAAGTGGGCACAGGGGAAGGTTGTACGAAAATAGAGATGAAACTCTATCATAGTGTCTTGACAGGATCGGGCGGAGCCGGGTAAGCCAGGTAGTTATAAATAAAATCTAATTTACCTTTATCGATTTTTGGAATATGTTGAGCAGGAGGCTGGGAGTAGATGGTAAGTAGGGGTGCTAATTATGTGTTTTTGAAAGGCGTTACGGAGCTGTAAGTTGATACAATGGGGTAAATGAGGACGCTGATTATGAATGAGCTGCTTTAGCGATCGATTCTACCGATTTTTGGAAAATTTTGAGCTTTGAGCTTGAGATTTGTTATAGGGGTGTAGGGGGAACGGAACTTACATACACCATAGGGTTGCCGCCGCCTAGTTAGCGGAGTTCATGAGAGGTCATGAACTGGCAGCAACGCTAATTTGCACTCAATTTGCACCGAAGATGAGCTGATTCTGCTCACGGTAACTCCGTCATCATCCTGCAGCCTATGAAACCGGAATTTCTTTGAAATTTGATTCAAAGTTCAGTAGTAAAATCAGTCCAATCAGGGCAAAAACTTGTATTTAGGGGTACTCTAACACGCTGATTCCGAATATGTTAATCGTTTTGCTTGAAACCTAGAATTTTTTTCTTTTTTGAATTGAAACTTGTTTTCACAAACAAAAAATTTCAAAAATTCTATGTAAGGGTTTTCTAACATGCTGTTTCCTAAAAAGCTAATGGGTTCGCTTAAAACTTTGAATATTTTTCCTTCGAAATTTTGTTTATTTTCCACAAATTCTCTGTAAATTTGGACAAATAGGTTTTTTTGACATACTGTTTTTAAAAGTTTCCATTTTATATTCTTAAACATAGCAGATTTTCCGTTTGTTTTCCAGGTTTATCTTTGCAGTAAAATTTCCGAAAAAAGTTTGAAATTCAAATTGAAAAATTTTGAGGTTTCAAGCAAAACAATCAGCTTTTTGGAAAACAGCATGTCAGAAAATCCTTACATAGAATTTTTGAAATTTTTGTTGGAAAATTTGTGAAAACATGTTTCAATTCAAAAAAGAAAAACATCCTAGGTTTCAAGCAAAACGATTAACATATTCGGAATCAGCGTGTTAGAATACCCCTAACTGCAAGTTTTTGCCCTGATTGGACTGATTTTACTACTGAACTTTGAATTCAAATTTCAACATAATTCCGGTTTCAAAGGCTGCAGGATGATAACGGAGTTACCGTGAGCCTCATCTTCGGTGCAAATTGAGTGCAAATTAGCGTTGCTGCCAGTTCATGCTCATGAACTCCGTTAACTAGGCGGCGGCAACCTTATTGTGCATGTAAGTTCCCTCACCCGGGTGTGAGGGCTCCAACGATTATGAATGAATCGACTCTAGCTGGGTAACTCAGCAAGTTATAGATATGGTTGTTAGCGTATTTGTTTTAGATATGGTTGCTATAGATGTTCGTTAAATCATTCGAACATTTATTCAAAACTCGACTCCCAATTTGGAATTTATTAGGTTGGAAACTAAGTTTTGCAACTGGTCTCATAACTTCTCTCTCACTCAAAATGGCGCACTCAAATTTTGCCACTGCGTTGGTTATTACGTAAGCTACAAGCGCAGATGCTGTCCCACCAAAATCTGACGTCGCAGTGAGGGTTACGGTAGGTGCATGATATGAAGGGGAAAAAAATCAAAGTTTGACGGATTTGGCTGAAACTTGGCATAGGAGTGTTATCCAACATGCTGATTACGAAAACGATGGTGAAATTGCGTGATAAGGGCTTTTTGTAGGATTACTGTAGGTGCACGATATGTGGTCTCACCCTAAACAAAGAAGAAGGCGTTGAGTCAATAAATGAATGTGATATTTGCGTTTGGCAGGTCAAATAACCTTACTATGTAAAGTCTCGGCGGAATTTGAGCTTCGGACTCTTTAGTCATTGACGGTCGTCCCCAGCAGCTCTTGCGTACATCGACTCGTTCGACTTTATGAGGACGCCAAATCTCGACATGCCCCTAAATTTTGTTTCTTTCTTACTAGTCCAAAGGAGTCAACCTTTAGCAATAATTTATAGCGAATCCGGATTATTGCGCATGGTCTAGGCTGTCAAAGGCTTCATTTTAGCTTGAAACCTCAAAAATTCTCAAATTTTACTAGTTTTCGAAAAACGCCTGAAACTTTTCTATTTCGTGTCAAAATCTAGACAGCTTGTGCTCACTTGTAGCACACATTGCCTTCTACAGAATGCCAAAGTTTGAGTGCGCCATATCCAAAGATAGTGAGGTTATGAAACCAGTTGCAAAACTTAGTTTCCAGCCTAATTATTGATATTTATTAATTCGATACTTCTGATTTTATGAGCTTCCGTGTTTTTTTCTTGAATTTATTGTGCCATGTTTCGCTTCCGTTCTTGACGACATGGAAGAGGATTGTTAGCAAAAAGAAAGGCTGCGTTCATACTGATCCGGAAGTTCGGAACAGTTTCGACACAGCGCTCGAACTCAGCGCTGCGCTGGAACTGTTCCCAAACTTGCGTATCAGTTTGAACACAGCCTAAGCGGCATTTGCCAGGAGCTGCCTGCCTGCAATTCTACGGTGACTCAACTGCCTTACATCCAAGTTTGGACTATGTGTTTCCGACAGCAAATACCCGTTAAACTACCTCAAAACTATAGTCGCTCAGGTGGTGGGACGGCGATAATTTGGAGAATTGCTCTTCAAATAGCATAAAGAATCGGTTTCTTGTGCTTTGCGTAAGTGACCTTAATGTTTAAACAAAATCGCTTGCAGTTATACCACACGAGCGCGCTGGCTTCTCAACTATAGGGGACTGCAGGGTCGCGAGAGTCGGACGTGCTTACGGCTACTGCGCCGCGCACGTCAGATGTGCGTCCGACGACTCAGATAGGTGCCAGACTTATCCTGTTGAACAGGTCATTTGGTTCACCACCTTTGCTATTGGACAGTGTAGTTAGTGATTTGACCTATGAACCGAAAGAATCAGCTGAAGCGGATAAGTCTGGCATCCGCCATAGTGACATCGGACGTGAGCGACGCAGTGGCCGTACGCACGTCCGTCTCTCGCGATCCTTCAGGCTCCTATATATGTCTGCGGATAGCAGTCATGGCTCCTAATTATCCATGGGGGGATGAGAAGCGGGCACAAAAAATGACAGAAACCTTGAATCTGTCGTTCGAGTAAGATGTTAGCTCGCGCGCGTGTCGCTGCGGCTGCACTACGCGCACCTGTTGCCGTTGAGTGGCCTGTACTTAATACTCGATGTATTCATACAACTTACAAGGGAATGGTCAGAAGTCAAAGTGGCCAATCCAAACAAGCTGCATACCATTCGATGCAGACTAGAATGCTGATTTCAAATCTGTCTTCCATATCTGCAGAGCGCCTTTGTAGGCGAAGTTATGAGCAGCTTTACTGCGAAAAAATTGTATACAAAAATTGCAAAATTAGGCACATTATTGCTCTTTTAGCTCATCACTAGGTACGGGCCATAAGAAGTGAACTGGTTGCATGCTTTGGTCCGGCACTGAGCCGAGGATGGCTTTGTACGGCCCAGTTTGCCTTTTACACGCACAATTTCTTAGCAAAATAATGGCTTTCAACGGCTTATAATTTCATCCACAAAAGTGCTCTGCAAATAAGGAAGACAGATTTAGGGTCAGCGTTTCATGCTGCATTTAATGATACGCAGTTTGCTACAATTGACCACTTCGATTTCTGACCATTCCCTTGTTAGCTTTGTTCTTTCAGGAGAAGCATTTCTTGCTATATTGTCGTCATTGATGTGTATTGCAGGTACTTTAACATATCACCAGCTTTGAAAACTCTGACAAGTTTCTTAATTTCAGTTTTCATTCATCTTTTCGTTGTAACCAACGATGTTCGGTTGCGGTACAAAAGCGAGCAGAGCGAAATTCTTTAAGAGTGATTCAGTTATAACACAGATCAATCGTTAATATCTTGATGCTGTTGCTTTCAAATAAATAATTCAGCAAACTGAAAGAATGAACACAGAACCACATTGATTACAATGCTCACCACAAATTTGAACAGATGCGATTGGTCCATATATCTGTGATGCAGAATTTGCCTGCGTCCTTCATCGCCCACCCAACTTCATGATTTTGCAAGGAATGACTTAGCAGCATGTTTCATGTTTGATACTAATTCCTTTGCAGCTAGTATACAGACAAAACCTCAGTCCCAAACATTCTCCAATCAATAGTCGTTAAGTCTATCATTACTAGTGAGCTATAGCCTATTTTCTTGTACGGAAGGCAAACTCCGCAATACGTGTAATGTCATCTTCATAAAAAAAAAACTCAATATAGGATGTCCGCGGGGCGCGCGTAGACTCCGTAGTGTCGGGCGCCAGGCGCGCGCGGTTTTGACGCTCCCGAGTCGTGCGCCATTGATATGGCGCATCGGAGCGCAGAAAGTGAGATCTGCACAAACTTCCTTTCTTCCAGCTGATTGTACGTCGTGCTTGGAACCGGAAACCCTCCGAAATGACAATTACACTCCAGAACAAGTCTTTGAGACCACATAGAAGCGAAAGATGAAGCTGACGCGAGGGTTTGACAGAAGAAACAGCAACAGAAAAACATTTATTCTACTTTATAGCTCGCGACTTCCGAAGTGCAACTGCCACGGGCATGTTTCCTACATGTGTACATGCCTTGGAATCAGCCTAGTTTTCCCAAAGTGCATGCTAACTTATGTTTTGTGCGCTAAAGTTAGTCGTCACCACTGGTGACACTTCTTGATGAGAATGTGACTCCATTGGTGTAACGGCTTACACAGCGCTGCATTGGGAACTAGGATAAGTAGTAGTATAGTTACAGACTGTATAGACTGCTACTATCACTGATTTGTTTGCTAGAGCTACCCTGATAATCATATGCATTTTTTAGAGAAATTATCATAATCAAGCTACGCAGCAAGCACCGAAAACTGATTTTGTGGGTGATTTTGAACACCAATTACAAAGATTACATTCTCGCTTCAGTCCAAAATCGCATGTCGCCTACTGCTGGGCCAGAGCGGATTTAACCAAAATGAAGAAGCGGTAACTTTTCACTAACAGCGGACCTCCATGGCTGATTCCAAAAACTGGTTTTTAGGAAGTATCTCATACATCAGGCGATGGGTTAGCGAAGCGTGGAGTACTAACGGTTCCTTTTTACTCTTAGCGTTTCGCAGCTTGAATGTCACAATTTAGAGCAATCACAGCGAAAATATAGCTTCCTCCAATAGCGCAGAGAACGGAATATCTCCAACAGTAAGTTTACGCGCGGGAAATGACTGAATAGCATTAGGATAACCTTCTCTCAGTACTTATCTAAAACAAGATTCAGTATAGCCAGTAACTGATGCTTTTTCGGTTCTCAAGAAAAGAAACAAGGACGAGGAATTAGGCCACATTCTAAGAAACTTGAAATTAGACGATGTTAAAGCAGTACTATCCGACAGCACGAGTTCGACATCCTCCATATCGCAAAATCGACATCTATGCGACAAAACCATTTCTGTGATTGCAAGAGTCAGAGAATTCTTTGAAGAATTGCAGCGCAAATTAGGTAAAAGCGGAGCTGGCACGATATTCAACAGGCCCTCTGAGCTGACTTCAGCCGTCTCTGGAGTCGCAGTTTCAACCGTCTTCAAATATCGCTCTGAGCAACAAGAACAGCGTCCATGTGGCCCCATGCACCCATGAGAGGAATAAAAAAGCACTAAGAATGGCGGCTGTAAGAAACTACGGTGGCGAATGGGGGAGCAGTATCCGCCATTTCGTGCACCAGAAATTAAGAGCTGAAGAGCACTTCACCATAAGAAGCCTGAGAGATGAATTTGCGCTGACGCACCCTGGCTTCACTCTGGGCAAAACAACTTTTCATCATCTTCTCAGAGGCACTGGATTCAGTTATAAGTTGAGCGAGAGTCAGCGATTCATTTTTGAACGCCGGGATATTATAGATAAGAGGGTCGCCTACCTCGCAGCAATCCAAGAAGCCAGAAAGCAAGGTCACTGTCTCGTCTATATGGACGAGACATGGATCTTCGTCTGCATGTCGATGAAGAGAAGCTGGTGCGATACTACCATCCCGCGCTTCGCACCTGCTGCTGTTCTGCAGGAATACTCCTGCGGAAGAACGATGGCCAAGAACAAAGGCAGGCGAGCCATCGTTATAAGCGCGATTACCAAAGAAGGAATTGTTCCTGGCTCGACTAAGATCATAGTGAGCGGCATGAGGACGACCGAGCAAGACTGCCATCGTGATATGGATTACGAGATTTATGAGGGGTGGCTGCGCGATACTATTCCACGCATATAGAGTGTCGCCAATGGGCGTCGTCTGTCATTAGTAATAGACAACGCCTCATACCATAGCCGCCAACTAGAAAAGGTAAAAGAAAAAAACTAAAATATGTGCTAACGATGAAAAAATGCTTTAAGTTGCCTACGTCCTCTTCCACGAAATCGGAGATCGAGAGCTTCTTGCGTTCTAACGGTGTAACAGTCCCAGAAAATTCCACAAAGGACTGCCTAGTAGAAGAGGTATAGTCTGCATCTTAAGATTCTTCGCATGAGTACCCTCGCAACGCAGCCCATCTCCTACCCTTGATTGGTGCAGAATCACCAACGTCTGCATGTTCCGAAAGAAGCGACGACAGTCGCGATAGGCATACATAGCGGAGGTACCTGTGGGGGGAAAACTAGGGTACAGACCAAATTAGCTATTCAAAAAAACACTAACGCTATGATTACAGCTGCGAGATTTCGTCTCAAGCAGAGGAGGGCCGCAAAGACTGCGTAGATACGCTACCGAGCGCATCTGCGCAGAATATGGGGTAACAGTGATAAGGCTGCCCCCTTATCACTGTTTTTTAACCCCATAGAACTTTGCTGGGGCCGGCTGAAACATCATCTTACTAGTCTAGGAAAGCCCGGCGATACCCTCGATATGGTTGTGCATTTACCCTCTTTACTTACCCACCAAAACTTATGTTTAAAATTTGTAGGTTAGAACAAGGGCAATGGAGTGGCTAATTAGCGAGCCCGCAAGATTCAGCGCAGGGTGGATGGAGCACGTAATCAAGGAAGAGACTGCAGCTAGAGATAAGGAAGAAATAGATCGTAGGCGCGCAATTCAGGAAGACTGGGGCTCAGATGTGGAGAGCGTGAGCGATGAAAGCATCGAAATTGAATAAGTGCGTGAGTTGAATCAAACTTTCGCCAACCGTCTACAGTCTCTCTCATCGTGAAGTCCCTGTGTGTGCATTAATTAGCTGCAGCGTACAAATTACTGGAAACTGATTTGAAAATCCGTCTGCAAGTGTAGCGCGGTGATAGACTCACGATTAAGACAGACTGCAGTCCACACAACTCAAGCTGTAGCTAGATTGTTCAGATTACTTCCGACGGCCTTCATGTCCCAAGCGTGCAAAACATCAAATAACACTGATGCCAGCGTTTTGTTGTTAAATTCGTATTTTCAAGTACTAGCCTACATCAAGACAAATTCTAGTCTCTTTTCAGGAATTGTCGCAAGTCAACTTTCGAGGACCAATAAATCAGTAAAGATATTCTTTGTCACTGTCAAAGACAAAGACACTTGAAACACAAGAACTGGCAACTAAGGCAAACAGTAAACAAGTAAAAGAAGAAACTTCAAATCAGTAGTTGACTCACCCAATGACGTTAGCTGCTCTGCCTGTAAATAAAGAACACGATGGAAACAGAAAACACGAGAGGCAACAAAAGCAAATAGGTGCGTGCGAATTGGGATGACACGAAAAGAAAGTTAGAATAATGAGTGTCAAAAAAGCAAGTTGCTTCCTAAAGTAGACAAATGTTTGACAGGACACCTGAAAACTGCTCATAGCCTTAGCTGATCCACCCTTCTACCCTCGTCAGGGGATAAAATCATGAAAAAAAAACAAGGATACACAAACATTCCACCTTTCGCGCTCCAATCTACATGAAAAGTGCGCACGACTTGGAAGCGTCGAAACCGCGCTGCGCCTGGCGCCCGACACTGCGAAGTCTCCGCGCGCCCCGCGGACATCCTGTATCTGCAAATCTTGATATTCAATTGAGTGTTTTTTCTTTTTTTTACTGACTATTACCTACAAGGGAAGAATACTAAATTAGATTCGCCTTCTGAGATGATATACCTAAATTTGGAATTAGCTTGGAACGCTGATTTCAAATATGCTTGAACTTAGCAAACCAAACTTGGCACACACACATTTCGAGGCGGAGCGTGTCATAGGCTACTTTTCGTCATCGATCGATACCGATTTTATCGATTTTATCGATTTTATCGATTTTTTGAAAAGTTCGAGCAGCAGGTTGGGAGTTGGCACGGGGGGTAATTGAGCATGCCGATTACGTTTGCAAAGTTCGAGCTATGGGGCTGGGAATTGACAAAGGAGGGTAAGTGAGCATATTGATTACGAATACTACATTAGTTTTTAGAGCTATAATACCGCTCATAATTCGTAAAAAAAGTCGCCGGATTGCGGCGGACTCCGTCGGAGTGCACTGCAGTCCGCCGGAGTGCGCCGCAGCCCGGCGACTTTTTGACGAATTATGAGCGGTATTGTGTACTGGAGAAATCATGTGCCGATTCAGTTAGCACCGCTTCGGCAAAATTGAGCATAATGCGTGGCGGTGCATCCTGTAACACTAAAGGTCACATCTGTCTGAAAAACAGTGCATTTGTCTATCTGTATCGTGTCCACAACTGCTCAAATAAATGAGAAAATACATTCCACTTCGTGAATCCCAAAAAGTCAACCTGGTTAGATCTGTCATTTCCAATTCTTCAATCAATTTCCAACCTATGACTTCCGTGTTGTCGGCAATTCGTTACACAGCGTACTAGATAGTAGACAATTTAAGCAAATTAGACGTGTTGTATCCACTGCATAGTTACACCAAACAGAGACTTACTCTGAAATTAACATAAACAAGAAAATGTTCAAAATTTTTTTGTATGAACAGTATGTCGGCGCGAAGCATTGGAATGAGTTGGTCCCAATAAGGCTTCAATCAACAATGTTGGCATGTACCACGTAATCGCGGCATAGGATGCGCTCTGAGGTAATTTCCGAGTAGGCGGGAGGAGAGATGGAGGCGAAGGCGAGATGAAAAATTAGTTTTTAGGCTAGAACTGACTGAAGAAGATGCAAAATTAACGGGTGTTGATCGAAATCAAACAATCATAATAAATTTCCTTTGCGTGCAGAACATGTATATGATTGAGAAGAAACCTGATAATGCTAAATGCGACGGTCACAATGAAAAACAAATTTTGGAGTGAGCGACCGATTGATCACTGAAAAGTGTGTTTAACGTCGCACCGCGATTCACAGACGCCGCACAAGGTGCCAGCGTCCTACGCGGTAAGGGCATGTTGAGGTGCTGGCACCCTTCCCCTCACATAATAGCACACAATTTCTCATGCTCTTTGAAATGCCGGCAGCGCTCACCGACAATGTGCTGGAGGGTTGCCGGAAGGTTCAGTTTACGGAGTTGCCAACATCACCTCCTGCCCTTCCTGATGTCTTTCTATAGTTGGTTTTCCAAAATCTTAACCTTATTAAAGGTTTTGTTCAAAGTTTCCGTAGAATCTTCGTCCAGAAACTTTTGTAGAAAGGCCTCAAAGTCCTAAATGTGGAATCGATTTTTGCCTACCTCACTTCAATGTGCCGAGGACCTTTCGCCTGGTTGGAGGGATTACTACTGGCTCAGATATCACTTTCTTTTGAAGAAAGTGCATCTGTTCCCCATACCCCCCCCTAATACATTATTCTTTTTTATTACCCCCAAAATCTTACAGATAAGTCTATTTTTTGACAAGAAAAGTTGATGAAAATACACCTTCGCAACGCCAAGAATTTTGCAGATAAGTCCTCCCACTAGATAAGTCCATCTAAGACTCATCTGATAAGATTTCATGGTGGTTACAATGGAAAGAAAACGCACCTATCTATAACTACCGGACTTACCTGAAGGGTCTTATATGAGTCAAAAAAGCGGACTTATCTGAAGGAAAAAATATTTGATATCAAAAAATATCAAAATTATCTGTAGACGGGACTTATCTTATGGGGGGACTTAACTGTGAAATTTTAGAGTGTGTAAAACACCAAGGCTACTTGTTCAGTTATAAGGTGATGTTTGAAAGTATTAGGTGTGCAATAAGTTCGTTCGCATTTTTTGTTTCAAGTTTTTCTCAGCATTTCACAAAGCATTTGACATATTGTTTGCATGCATTCGGAAGCTTCAAGTTTGCTCTACCGAAGCGCTATCATAGTAATCCCAGTTTTCAAAAATTTAAGTAAAAATTCTGACTACAAACCAAAATCTGATGGAGCGAAAATCCCACTTTCGACAACTATGTTAGGGGTGAGGGAACTTAGGAACCCGAGCCTAATTAGCTCGATTCGGGGAGTGCCTGCAGGTTACAGTCATGCTCGCTGTCTCCGATTACTCACTAGGACATAGCAGCAATCTAAGCCCCGCCCCCTGAGAGCTGTTTGGAACTTAGCCAAAGAATGCTGAAAATCTCAATTGAATTTCAGAGCTGGCTCTGAGCCAAAAACCTTCAAAGTGATCGTAGGAAGGTGAAATTAGGCACAAACAAAAGAGAAAAACCGTGCCATCATCATAAAGTATCTACTGAATGAAACTGTTTGAACACAACATTCTCTTGGTTCAAAACTTTATTTAAATGTCAAATTACTGAGAAATTATTCAAAAACCGTCAAGTTTCCAAGAAAAATTCATTTGAATGCTAAATCCCTAGCAAAAGACTAGAATAACATTAGAGAAATGACAGTTCAAAAAATTCCCAAGATTGATAGTTATTTAAATGCTGAAATTTAGGCGAAAGACTAGAAAATCAATTGCGAAACGACAGTTTAAAAAATTCTCAAATGAAATTTTGTTTGTGCGCGGAAGTCTGGGCAAAAGACTAGAATATCAAGAAATGACAGTTCAAAAACTTCACTAATAATATTGCTGAGTCTGTCAACGACAGCGATTCTGATGTGCGAAGAACATCCTGCTAATATACTGGAAGCAATGACCTCAACCTACGCAAGGAAAGGTTGCAATAACAGTTTGAGGCGAAATTATAAATAGTAGCATAAAGGGTGAAAACCATTTATCCTGTCTTACGACGATTATTTTTATTCCCATATGCAGCATCTGCTGCAACAATTTTATTCATCGTACTAAACTGGGAGCCTCAGGTGATTACGAAAGGACGAGAGAGGCAAAGCCACACTTGATGGAGCATAACACATTATTTTTAGATGAGCACGGCTGAAAAATTTGTATATCTTTATTTTCAGGCAACTGTGGTAGCTTTAACTACTCAGTGGCATTTCTTGCTGTGTTTTGCTCGAAATTCAGCACTCAAAAAAAACTATTACTTCTGAGACTTGATTTGTCATTTGATATTTTAGTCTTTTGCCCAGAATTCCGCGCACAAACAAACTTTTATTTGAGAATTTTATGAACTGTCGTTTCGCAATTGATTTTCTAGTCTTTCGCCTTAATTTCAGCATTCAAATAACTATCAATCTTGGGAATTTTTTGAACTGTCATTTCTCTAATGTTATTCTAGTCTTTTGCTAGGGACTTAGCACTCAAATGAATTTTTCTTGGAAAACTTGACGGTTTTTGAATAATTTCTGAGTAATTTAACATTTAAATAAAGTTTTAAACCAAGAGAATGTTGTGTTCAAACAGTTTCAATCAGTAGATACTTTATGATGATGGCACGGTTTTTCTCTTTTGTTTGTGCCTAATTTCACCTTCCTACGATCACTTTGAAGGTTTTTGGCTCAGAGCCAACCCTGAAATTCAATTGAGATTTTCAGCATTCCTTGGCTAGGTTCCAAACAGGCTCTCAGGGGTCGGGGCTTAGATTGTTGCTATGTCCTAGTGAGTAATCGGAGACAGCGAGCATGACTGTAACCTGCAGGCACTCCCCGAATCGAGCTAATTAGGCTCGGGTTCCTAAGTTCCGTCATCCCTATGTTAGCTGTGCCTTGAATGGGTTTAAACGCTTAAAAAACACCTCGAAAATTTTGCGAAGTGTATGAATAGAATACCAGAGCGTTCGCAGATTACTTATAAATGCTAAAATTTTTCAAAATCAATATTGCAAGCTCAAAAATAGCTACGTTTTTGATGTCTCTTCCGCGTCAATGTTAAGCATTTGTAGGAACCTTTGGTGAAGGGTGGTAGCCGAACAATCCAGAGATTGGCAGACAATGTGGTCTAAGGTCGCTAAGTCATCAAATAAATGGGTTTTGAAGCCAAAAATCCAGAGTTTGGGGGACACACAGCTCAAGTACGCGAGAGAACGAACCGCTGCTGGGACAAAGCCTTGCTACGCCGACTTTTGCAAAGATTGCATGAAACGGTCGGCGAAAGATAATGGAAAATCGTAAGCAGTTTCAGTAAGTGTAAAAATGATCATCAGCTAGTTGTATTCCTTGTTATCAAGCATCTTGAGAGAATTTTAACAATGAATAACGGGAAAACTAAGAAGGAAAAAAGATGTCGAAAATGGAATTTTTGTCTTCTCAGATTTTTCGTTGTGTAGTCAAATTTTTTGTTCAACTTCTTAGGAATCGTAAATATAATAACAGAGGTTTGGTAGAGCAGTCTTAGAGCTTCCGAATGCACATTGACATTTTGCCAAATGCTTTGCAAAATACTGAGAAAAAATTGAAACAAAAAATGCGAACGAACTTATTACACAACCTAATAGAATACGACCACGAAAACAGCATACATCTCCATGCTGCTCTATCTCGTAAATTGACAGCCATTGATTGCAGAGGCAAGGGAAGAATGGAAAAACGTTTGACCAGGTGCCACAAAAAAGTGGAAGATCTTGGGATGCAGGCCTTCTGAGGGTCGATTTCTTGGAAGACTCAATTTTCTGCGTCGATAATTCGTTAAAACGTTGCGAGCTTGAGTAAAGACTCTCACTTGCATAATCTTACTTTACGGAGTACAGAGGTTAGGCAGCCCTCATTTCTAAAAAAAATTTTTATGGACTAACGGATGCTGGATATTGGGTTGAGTTTATTGATTACGATTATACTTCTGTTAGGTTTTTTCGTCTATTTCGCGTTTGCGGTGATATAGCATCTTTCTGTAATTACAAATCTCTTGTAAAACATATTCAAATGAGTAATTCATCGAGATGTATTTTTAGAGCTCAGTTCATGTACTGTATGAATAAGCGAGTGTAACAAATTGTAAAAGCGTTTCTTTCTCCATTTTCAAAATTTGTGGCTTCTTTCTACTGGCATAGCATGTTAAAGTAAGCAAATCATGCTGAAACATTTGGGAGCGGGAACAATTATCTAGCTAGAAAAATTACCCTAAGTTTACCTGTCGATTCAATAATACCACCTTTATTACACAGGACTAACACTCTTAGTACCCATGCATGGGGCAATCATCGAAGTTAGCGCTCAAGGAGTTTTGACAGCGATGTACGACAAATCTGACCACCGCGCACTTACTATGTTCTGAAGCAATGCTCTGGTGTATCACAGAAGTTCTTTTAGCAAATGATGGCATAAGAGAGTTCGCTGAAGTAAGGTTGGATCATTTTCTACTTTCGTCAAACAGAAGCAAGTTGTACATCTTTAACCGCTTCTGCTCTCGCCATTAGATGGACACACTTTCCAGATTATCTTCCACTACTTCAATGGATTCAAATAAAGATGATCGAAATATGCCACAGGTTTGCTCCTGAAGAGCAATGCGGGTGCAGATGCTCGTTTTCGAGTTTAGGTTGGCATGGTTGTAACGCATAAGGTGGGAAGATGGAAAGTTATGAAGAACATAGCGTCAGGCCCATTCTCACATGTGTTTATCATCGCTGACGCAGAAGATACGAAAAAGAAGTATGCCATGAAATGTGAAAAACAGGAGGGCAACAACAGGTGAGATCTATGCCACCGTTGAAAACTTCATACAAATGTTTGCAGGCCTGTACTAAAGCTAGATGTATTAGTGCTAATGTCCGTGAAGGGCTCTGTAGGATTCCCGCTCTTTATCGCCGCAGGAAGGACTGCTACTTATAGGTAAGGCTTTCGCACGATCTTATGTCTTTTGGCAAGTCAGATCTGAAACAAATCGACATTAACTAGATTTTTATTAAATCTGCTAACCTGCTATCGACCGACAGATCTTAGAGGAGGTCGCGCATGAAAGACTTAAAAAGATGGAGCGGGGTATCATTTTAGCAGTCCACAGTGAAAGAGCGGCCTTATAGCTGCGACCATGCATATACAGTGAGAGTGTGTTCAAGACACTACCGTGAAAAACTTTAAAGATGAAATTGTGATTTGCACTGTACGGTAAACATGGATATCCCTGTAAATCTAAAGATTTGCAGAGTTGTTAAAGGCAGTGTCCAGACAAGGTTATTCTGGAAATTTGGTTCATCGAAGTATCTGGACAAGGTTGTTTCTGGAAATTTGGTATTATGCGAAAGCAGGTCCTCTCGAACAACCCCATCGCGAAGGGCGTAGTCATAGCGTTTGATCAGAAGCAAGAACAAGATCGGAAAGCTGGGAAAGTACATCCTGGTGGCTCCAAACCAGTGGATTTTTCGCTTCTCGGCGGAATACGCATGCCGCCGCAGTTAAAGTTGTAAGGTTCCGCGATGCTGCGTCCCAACTTTGGCGGGAAGTGTTCCATTTATCCTAAAATGTAAGACTTTGGGATATGTCTGTTCTCGCCGTTTTCGAGCTCTCCGTTGTGACTTTCGGATTGACATAGCGGATAGCCTAGGCAAGCGAGTTTGCTAGAAATCGAGTTTTTGCCCGAACGCTGCCTTTGACCTAAATGGTTTCAAGGAGCACTGTTAAGGCAATTGTGGCTAAGCTTATTTGCAACCGAATATCGCGCACGTGGGTTATCTTCCTACTTTCTTCGAATTAAGGGCCGGGCATACTTCACGCGATTTATTCGCGACGCGATTAGGCAATTCACCAGCTGCACATGCATAGTGTGCATAACTTACGTGGGTTGATAAAATGTTCTATCTTCTGTACATTTGAAATGTGCTTACAGTAAATTATGGATAGTTGAAATATTGTCAAGTCGCGTCGGGAGTGAAATCGCGTGAAGTATGCCCGGCCCTTTACTCACGCAAAAACCGTAGTAGAGTGTGTCAGCGACAATTATAGCTACATTCCGGTGCTTTGGTCGTAAGCTCACATCCAGGGGCAACGTTAAAATGGCTCAAGAACTTTTGCCTTTTATTTTGCACTAGCAATTAATAAGTCCTTTCTGTACAAGCACTAATGTCAATGTATCGCTCAGTGGGAAAGCCTATGAAATTTTGTTCGCTTTTCACCAACTCACAGGTTGCTAGTTGCTTCGTGGATTCTGCAGTTGTCTTAATCACTAGTTTTTTGAGCAGAAGCGAGAAGCATAAGCATGTTTGCTGAAAGAGCACTACATGTCCAATCTCCTGTAGGGGGGTGGTGCAGGAGGAACCAAAGGGCTGCCGCCTGTATCCGCAGGAGATGATTAAGAGCGCGAGAGCTATGGAGAATATTTTGGCAGGAATCCAAAATTACTTGGTAAAGACATCCTCTAGGAACAAATCTTCATAAGTTTGCTTGGAGATGACTTTGAAAAATTTAAAAAACAGATTTGTAATGCAAATTGGAAGGCGCATTCACTGGACCTAAATGTAGATGAAAATTTGGAATTGTAGTGGTAACAGAAGTTAACTACCTTATATAATAGAAATTTTTGTTTTGAATTTTGAAGTTTCAAGTTTTGAAGTCCGGGGTTTTCATTCAAAATTCATTCTTTCTTCTTCGAGATAAAAAATTACTTTGTCTTTTGATTCAATGAAAAGCAATTAAAATGTCATAAGAACACATCTGGAGGTCGTCAAGATGCAATATGCAGTTTGTCTCATACCTTTAAACCCATTCTAACTCCAGATTTTGACATTAGAGACTTCATAGGATTTGCCATTGAAACTATGTCGGTAACCCCTTAGGTCATACACATAGCAAAAGTTCATCACATGCAACTTAGTTAACATTACTTCCTTATTACCATTTCATACTTTCAGCTTCTTATCCAGAAATTTCACTAAAATTCAGCTGAAATTTTCACGCAACATTGAGCTTGAAATTTCAACTTAGAATGGTGAATTTTGAAGGCACAGTATTTGGGTAAAAATCGTTGCGAGACAAACTTGTTCAACTATCCGGTAAGCGTATTATTGAAAATGCGCATTTCAATACTGATTCCAAATCTGTCCTTCGTATCCTTGAAACTTGATTCCAAGGAGAGTTAAAAGGGTTTGTTTTTAATGGATGTCCTCGCCAAGTTTTTCTGGATCCTTGCCAAAATCTCCTCCACAGCGCTCGCCCTCCTAATTATCTCCTAGTGCTATAGGCGGCACGCCTTTGGTTCCTCCTGCACCGCATCCCTCCTGTAGTACTCAAGCCAACACACGTGAAGCAACTTATCTTAGGTACTGCGTCATGCAGCTTGTTGGACCTGACCTCGGCAAACTTAGGAGAAGCCTAGTCGACAAAAGGTTTTACTATCTCTATCAGTTGAAAAAGGACACGATCATCCATATCAATTCTTGATTCAGGTTTTCGGTGCCAACTGCTCTAAGGGTTCTTCAGCAAACTCTACGACGGTTGGAAGTGTTACACGATGCTGGATGGTTATGCCGGTTAGACGAATTCTCAGTACCTCGAAACACTAAACACATTCAGAGACGTAAAAGCTCCAAATTTTGCCATAGGCTTGGGAAATGAGAGCAGCGTTATCTACATGCTTGATTTCGGATTTGCTAGGAAATACAAGTAAGAAGTGCATCGATTACCTTAGAAAAAAAAGAGCGCACCTCTAGGGAAGCAAATGGTGAAATCATACCTCCAAGGCAAGCGGCTGCGTTATTGGGAACCTTCCAGGTAACATCTCTCTCTCTTCCTAAACGGAAAGGATGTTTCGCGTTTCAGTACACTCCTCTTGCCAGCCATGATCACAAAGATCAGGCGCCAAAGGATGACCTAGAAAGTTGGTTCTATATGGCAGCAGAATTACTTAAAGGTTAGTGAAGCTGCCTTACATTGAAAAAAGTGCGCCGACGTTTTCTTGGTAGGACCTCTACCATGGTGTAGAATAGATGGGCACAAAGAACATCTAGCGATTGCCGCGCAGAAGAAGTTGATACGGAAGGAACGCCGAGCAGAGTTCATGAAAGGGATGCCGCGCGAGTTTGACAATATTTTGACGATGATCGATGATATGAAGTAATGTGCAACGTGATACATACCTCAAAAAGGACTTCTAAAGCGAATGGGGTTTAGATTCTTCGATCGGCCACCTTACGACACTTTTCAAGCCATGATAGATCAAGCAGCGGAAAAACTTGGAATTACTCTGCATGAACCATTTGATTGGCAGGTGGATCTTGGTCGTGTTCTGAAATATTTTCCTTTATTGAAAATTTTCAGAGCAATGCTCGTGTTCTGAGAAAAGCAGAATTTGTTGGTGAACTCGGCGAATCAAATCTGGCATCTTTAAAAATGGAAGAAGAAGAAGGAGAAGAAAGTGAATCTTTAGACGTTACACCTTCGACGTTGGAAATTAAGATTTAATTAAAAATTGTTTATTGGTCATGTTTTCTAGGCTCGCATTCGATAAAAGGGAGCACCTCCTATAACGACAGCCTCGAAAGATCCTGCTACGTAGAAAACATAATAAAGCTTTAGAGTTTTAGAAATGAGATCAGTACTCTGACACAGAGCTTACGTCATGGGGCAAATATGTGAGAATGCTTGGCTTGCTACAGCTGTTCAAGCATTATACCCTCTTCTCCAAAGCATTCTATGGAATTCGCCGGCTTCCAAATTATCACAAAAGTTTTGCAAGGTTTTTTAGTGGCACCTGCAAATTCAAAAATGTTACATTTTGCTTATGGGTCTTACAACCCCTATAGTCCAACTTACGTCAGAGATTGTAATACACGGACTCCTAAAAAGATTTAGCAAACGTTTGATCGTCAATAACTTTCTTGTCATGAAATTTTCGGCGAATCTTTAGTATCATTCTGTGAAGCTGCTTCAGTTTTGATTTACAGTACAAAGCAAATCGCTAATCGCTCTTCATCACTGAAAAACTGCAGTAGGAACTTGCGGCATTTGGCGCCTACCGTCAAAAAGCTGCTGTTTTAAATAATTTCAAAAAATTCTGAAGACTGAGGTATCAGAGTTTTCTGGAATGCTGAGTTTAGTACTCAGTTTTGTACAAGATTGTGGAGCATTCTTAGCTATTAAGAGAGCTCCAATGTTGCCCTGGTCAAATCATGCAGCGTCAAAATCGCGTGAAGTATGCCGGAGGCCCAAACTGATACCTTCTGCTTGAATGCTATGCTCTACGCTGTTTTTGTTGCTGCAGAACGGTTAAATTTCTTGACAGGATTTCATGCAGTTTTTGAGCTGCACAGTTGAACAAAAACCAAATTTTTACTAGAGAAGAAGACGACAGAAGCAAGTACTTTTACCATTACAGATGCTACAATTCTAACAGACTCAACTTTGCGAGCAAAAAGCGTTGGTTTTGAACATGTAGTCACACTTTGGAACAACACTTCTGAGACTTTTGAATATGAAAATAAATTCTGCTTGATTATAACATATGGTTTCAGTGTGGGAAGATTTTCCATCGAATTCTCAACAAATTTCTGTCGCTAACCATACATCTGTTGCCGTTTAAAAATCCCCATCGCACACCTTTATATCAAGACTTTCCTGAATCAATCCTTCTAATGACAACTACGAAAGCCTCAGCAATTCATGTAAAACTTCGAATTCTTCGCGGAAGCAAAACATATGCGCCATAAATAAGTCTGATTAAGAAAATTTATTTGACTTTACGTTAAGCAGTAATCTTTCTTAAAGACTGGCAAAAGACCTGCGTAGCCAACATGAAGATATGTAATAACTTTCGAGCATCGTGACAGTATTCTGCTCGAAATTCTTTTACACCTTACATCGTAATCAACAAACCTGAGGTAGCGGGAAAACGCGGAAATCCTTTTCCTTCGTACAACAAATATCATGTGCACTATTTTGGTTACTTAGAATAGCCTCTTACTCTTTGCCAGAGCTATTATCTTTTTGTGAGAGAGAAGCACAATTGAAAAAGCACAAAGTTGCTCCGAAATTTGTTCGCATTATACCGGTGAATTCGCATTCATCAATAGTACACATGGATTTGCTTGTCCAAAATTTCATCAAAATGGGAATTATGCAGTCTTTAATGGTAACTAATTGCTTTCTGTCTTAGCACAGAAAATAGCAAATAATAATGATTAGAATGATAAAAAAAGATTTAAATATTTTTGAGCAAGCTCACAAAAAAAGTTTAAGAACGAACCAAAATGGTCACAAATATGGATTTCAAAATCTTTTATTTACAGCTACACAAATTTGCTCATCAGCCGTTTCCTGGAAGAGTTATGAATTTTGCGAGAACAATGCAAAATGGCGAGCTCAATACAAATTTTCGCACGATCAGTAAGAAAGAGTAAGTACAAACAGCAGGTATTTCTTGATTTTCGTCGAATTTCATTTTGGTGATGTTGCTCAAGATAACGAACAAAATTCGAATCTTCTTCTTGCATTTTTTGCATTGCGGTCTGTATTTGGAAAAGGCAACCAAAATAACTCCAGAAACTACATGGCTTTTTTATTCTATTGTAGTTTTCTCAACCAAATCTACTATGGAAGGATACAATTTCTCGAACTCATGGATAACCTGATTTGAACGTCACCACAAAGAAAGTACGCTACTCTTGCAGTTCAAAAGTTTAATCACAAAATGCCGGGGTATATGCAAGCTAGTAGGTTTTCCCCTGATCAGGTAGAGCTGCTCCTATCCATATCGTAGTTGAGTAGCTGTTGTGTGCTTAGGCCACCCAAAGCACTCTAGCTCAAAGTTTGCATTCCCAGAGCGATTCACGCTCTGTTGAGCATTATGTGTGAACGGGTCAGAGTCAACTTTGGGAGTTCGCTATTCGAACGCGCTTCTTCATCTTGCTCCCGAATTCACCTCTAGAATTTCGGCCACTGACCAGTCCTTTGTTAAAGGACAAGTCGTACTCTCTTGTTTTGCGTATTAGCGGAAAAAGGAGGTTTCAAAAGGGCACACAGCAGACGACTCGACCGGCACTTTGCACGCAAAAGTGGATCTCCACTTTCTTTTACGAGTCGTCAAGATTCATCCGTTCGCTTTTATTGCGACTCAATCCCCGCCGTATTTGCAAAGTTCCTCGTCCAGCATGTTTTGCTTTGCGGGTCCTGTGTAGTTAGCAATTTGCAATTGTCTGCCGCATGCATATAACGTGTTTTCGGGCACGGCCTGCTCATAACAGCGTGTCCTCACGCGGACCACTTCCTTTTACCCGAAATTTGCGTGCCAGCTGACCACCTGCAAGACGAATTTGTTCTTTGTTCCGACTCGCTCGCCGCATTCACACCTCAGTAATTTCCTGCTGAAGATGGGCCCAAAATAAGTTCCGTCGTGTTGACCACCCAAAAAGCTATAAAAGCTATGATCTGTAAATTCAAAGTAATTGTAAATAATGCTATTTTCACATAAAATGCTATTACAGAAAATGCATCTTGCAAAAATTTTATAAAAAAAGCTGCCGTCGATAAAACAGCACATCTATACCTATTTATATGCAATTGTCAACACTACTTTTGCAAATCGCTAGGCTCGTCCAGAGTTTTATAATTGTGGTGAAGTAGAAAGTAGCAAGAATTTGCTAGGTTAATTCAAAAAGACGGGAATTTTATGCTCTATCTCAACTAGCAAATCGGAAATTATATATATTGATAGGAAAGTACCTTGAAAAATCTAACGTAGCATTTCTTTCTTTTCTTCAATTAAACTACAGGGCTTGTTTTCCACAAGTGCTCAAGAAATCAGCAAAATCTTATATCCATAGGAATTCATTTTGAACAGAATTATCAGATGGGAGTGAGGCAACCGTCTTCCATGCAAATCATCTCTAGATCTTTTTCAACCATCCCTTCAGGGCTTTTAAATGATTTTTCATAGTCCTCCAAATTTTGAAAAAAATGTATAGGACAAGAATAATCACTCTTCAAAACGTCAAGATTCGAATTTCGGGCGCAGCTACAGTGCAACCTGTTGGATAAATGTGGAAATTTTGAGTCAAAAACTTCTGCTTATCTGAACTGAATCAGTCCTGAAAATTCAGCTAGAATCCACAGCTCTGAAAGGAAGAAAGACTACGCCGGCAACGTTGAGGCACACTTCCGTCACATTCTCTCTGATACGAGCTTAGATCCAAAAAATCTGATTGAAGCTGCTGATATAAGCTTATTCATTACCAGAAAAGAACTTTTGTGTAGAAAAGAGTCTTGCAATGTCAGTTTATGTCAAATAGAATTTATCAGTCACTTGGAACTCAAATTCCCACATCTCGTGTCTACATTCAAGAAATCCGAAAACGCTCTATTACTTCACAAGAAGGCAAGAACTCCAGATTTCTTAGGCGTTCTTGGACGTGTATGCCGCACCAAACACTGCCAAATCAAGAAGATCTCAGAGCTGTACACTTCACGAAAGATTTTCTCCTATTTGAACGTTTTTCACTAGCATTTTTACAATTCGATGCGTTGGCAAGATGTTTTTAGAAACAAAACTAACACTAGCCATATAGAATCGACCAGGCGTTTATGTCCCTGCTTAGTTCGACTCCCCCACGTACGTTTTTTGCTCGATGAAAAAACGAAGAAAACGAGCAGTTAACGATGCAGGCGATGCGGTGTTAACGGCTGACCCGTTTTCGTCGCATTGACATCTCACTCTAAAGATGCCGACATTTTCTTCTACGGCAACCTATCGCATGTGCGAGAGCTGCCTTCAAATTTGCTCAAGGTTATTGGCATTTGATGGCGCTTCTCTGTGATGAGGGCTTTGCACTTATTTTTGACTAAAGAATGATTCCAATCGTTTTTAACGGTTTTTAAAAATGTCACGATAACTTCATGTATAAATGTGGCACGATTGGAAAGAGTAATTCGAGGAGAATCGGATGGTTAACTCTGTTTGCTCAAAAACTACTTTTTAGGTGATGAAATGGTGCAGGAAGCAGAAAAACCAGATTTCTTCATCAAGTTTGCAAAAAAAACAGTTTTTAATCAAAATCATTTTCAAGTGCACGAATAGTACGCATACATACAATTTTGATATTTTCAAGCATTTTCATGGCCATTGCTATTCAAATTTAAGCGATCTGGACTACATAGAATTTAACTTTTCGCGCAAGCTAGAATTTTCCGCAATTTCACAATGGAAATTTCCAAACAGAAGATCACAATCTTCCATATTTGCAAGGGCTAATGTCCAACAATCAAATTACTTAATTGCGAACTTACCACGGCTTCAAAACGCACCTTGGAAGTCAAAATATCAATTCTTCGGAAGTTAGCTATGTAAGATCATGACTGTCTTTTGTCACAAAATTCAATTCAATGAATTATTTGGCAGTGGATTGAGCTAAATAACAACTACTTGAGCTTTTAGGGATTTTCGAAATTGCATGTCGGAACGAAATTATGTATTAGCCAACCTAAAACT